TCCACTTTCCTCCCTTTCTTGAAGATAGGCACCACATTGGCCTTCTTCCAGTCTTCGGGCACTACACCAGAGCGCCAAGAGTTTTCAAAGATCCGTGCCAGTGGCTGGGCTATGATGCTCACCAACTCCTTGAGTACCCTGGGGTGTAGATTGTTAGGGCTGGCTGACTTGAAGGTATCCAGCCTGTCAAGGTGCTCCTTCACGAGGTTAGCATTGATGGAAGATTTAAAATGAGGATAGCATTTAAAAAGAATTTGAATGCAAAATTGCAGAACAAGAAATTATCCACAGATTGGATTGTGTTAAGCATGTAAACAGGCACTATGGATTCTTATCCCATTACCTAGATTAGCTTTTGTGACACTCTTATCCTTATGGGTTTATTACTTATTCATTTCTCCCAGCACTGTTTCTCTTTCCCCCTCCCCTCTCTCCACCCTCTTCCTCCCTTCCTTCCCGGCCTTCTGTAATCAAATCACAATTTCTATTTGTTACACTGCTCTGTGCATCCTTTCACAGCATCTCTTAAAGTGAGCTTTGGGTCATGAAAGCTGATGCTATACTTCTCTGATTTATAATTTTAATAATCTATACAATGCAAATCTACACTGTCTTCTGCCTGACTTCAGACTAACATGGCTAACTACCATCTCCTTGCTCACCCATTCATCATTGGCAATCCCGCACAGTTGAGGATGATTAATCACACGGGTCAAATAAAGCAGAGGTTCCCAACCACTGGGCTGCGGCCTAGTACCAGGCCACAGCGAGTTGGCTGCCAGATCGTGGCATGAGCCCTCTGCTCAGACCTCCATCTGTCTGCACAGGCGAGCAACTTCTGGGTTATAGCTGCATGGTGGGGAGAACCCAGGAGGGAGGCAGCTGGCTCTGTGCACCCCATCCCGGTGGGTCACAGTATAAAAAAGATTGGGAACCACTGAAATAAAGGTTTGTAGATGAGTCCATTGATGGCTAAGAAGACTCATCCTAGATCTGCAGACTCTCTGGCAAATGCCACAGGTGTTGGCTAAAGGGAGATCAAACTGTGGGTTTCTTGGCCTTGTTTCCTTTCCTTCCATTTCTGTTGTTTTTCTGTCTCCAGGGTGAGACTGTTTTCCACAAAGTAAGGTGTACCTTCTCTCATAAGGCATCTCCATGGATCCTGTGCCAAGCTAGTTTTTCCCAATTTGTGATGTTAATGCCACACTTCTTAATGTTCACCTTGAGGATATCCTTGAAGTGTTTTCTCTGCCCCCACATGTCCTTTGTCCTTGGCTGAGTTGGGACTGTAGGAGTTATTCTGGTAAACATCCATCAGGCATGCACACACAACACCCTGTCCATTGCAGCTGATGCTGAATAATCAATGATTCTATGCTGGTGGTGTTAGCATCAGTTAGGATACTGGCATTTGTGCGATGATCCTCCCACTTCTTTGACCTTCTTTAACAGGGACCTTGAGACTCCTGTCAGTAGCTCCAGAAATCAGCCTTCCTGATGATTCTGTACGCTGATTCTCTATGCTGTGACTTGGACCCTTCTCCATCCTGGGAAAACTCCAAAGATCTCAGACACTTTACAAACAGTCATTAAAATATATCAAAGCCAATTCCCTCCCCACCACAAAACACACACACCATCCTCAATGTCCCAATTCATCCTGAGTCTCAGAATCCTCCAGAAGTTGCTCTCCCTGGGACATCTGGCATTCCTCCAACTGATGCTCCATTTCTCTCAGATGCTTCTGGCATAGAGGAGTCAATTTCCCCTTTACAGGCAGACAATGCCTTGGGTACCTAACCCAATAATGTCTCCTTCTGCCTGGGAATGGTAATTCTTTTTGCCTAGTGTCACTAGGGCAATAAAAATATATCGGCTAAAGAGATATTTAGCAGTTCTGTACATGCCCTTTTCCTTAAATGTGTATCCCTTAGTTCCTTGGCTATACCGTGTCCAAATCATAAAGACACACAGACAGCATATCAAAATCTATACAGTGATAGCATCAACATAAATGGATACAGCATAGCTTGGACTTTTCAACAAGACTGCATATGCCATAATAGTACAACAAACGCAATATCTAGTATAACAAATGCAAATCTGCACAACCCGCCACAAACCCCCAGACCATAGTGAGGTTCACGACAATTATTTTCAACCCTCCTTGTTAAAACTGTTATTGATCAGCAAGAATGCATGGAGTGTTTCTATATTTTATACAATGACTTTTGAGTGTAAAATATCAGAACAGTAAATATCTATTGCCAAGACTATAATGCAGGAGTCCCAAATGAATGTCCCTTGAGCTATTAGGGTACAGAATCAGGTACCCTCTTTTGCTCTTTCTAGCTACGTAAATCATGCATTCTGTTCTGTACAGGATCCCATCCTGAGGTGCCCTAACTCTAGATTCTGGGCAGGAGCCAGACACCTAAAACTTAAGCATAGTAGTAAATAACTTATAACTACACAAAATACATTTATGGCTGCTTTCTTTTAAGATAAAGGCAGCAACAGCAATGTGGTATGCAGAATGCAAGTGAAGTCTAACTTGTAGGTGCCTGAACCCTTTACTGGATCTGACTCTTAGAGTGTCTATATACATGTTCCTGGAGAGCTGCTGTAATTAAAACACTGCAGCATCCCATGTACTCAGTGTCCTGTGTTTCAAAATGGCCGTGGGGGCATTTTAACTGAAGCTTGTTTGACAAGTTAGTTAAAGCACCCCGCCGCCATTTTGATACATGTAATGTTACAGCACACTGGAATGTTCTAATTAGAGCACTCGAGCAGATTTAATCGAGTCTACTCCAACACATTGTAATTAGAAGCATGTGTATAGGCACCCTTAGTTTCTCATCCAAAGAGCATGACATGTAAAAGGAATGATTAAATCAATAGTATAAAACTAAGACAAATATTACACAACAATTGTGTTTTTAAAAAAATTATAAAAAATGTACTTGAGATGCTGAAGATGTACCCCCATATGTAAGTGATATCATAAGGGCATTTACAAAATGTAAGGAAGCTTAATTAGTTTATAATTAAACTATATAATGAAAACTTAGTTTATAATTTAAACTTCAGTTGGATACATATAGAACTATCCCTTATTTTACCTTTGAATTAATAGAGAAAGTTAAATCTCATCTGCCTAATACAATATTTTATTTACACAGATGAAAATGAAAGGCTGAAGAACAACATCCATATCTTGGAAGAGAAATTAAAGGCTCATGAACAGGTGAGACATGACTGGGCATTTTATATGCAAAGTAAAAAGAACATTTATCTACTATATATTTATTTCAATTGGAGACTCTCAAGGAATGATTTTTAGCTCTTTGAGTAATGGGGTCTGGAATTGATCATTCCTTCTGTGTCTGTTTCCAATTCTAATTTTCCAATATTAATTTTGTGTAGTTGCAGCATCCCTAAACTTGTTGACAGGCACAAAAGAAAACCACAAAAGCTTTCTAATCCTTAAAGCTAAATTGTGTCTTTTCAGCTGTATTTGGGGAGTACAAAGTGGTAGCAGGAGCATCAAAATGTAGTCTGAATTTCCATGAAATTCTGTGACTTTCCTGAAGCCCCATGAAAACACACAGTGCTCCACCAGCTTCTTAACAGGCTCAGCGTGTGACTTTTCTGTGACTCATTTGTCCACCTGCCCCTTTCCTTTGTGGAGGTCTAATAACATCACCAGTGCTGGCCAGCAGTGGTGTTAATTGGCATTAATACTCTGCATTAAGATGGACTCCAATCTCAGATGGCTGTGAAAGCTAAGCAGGGGCACAACTGGTGGGGAAAGGAATGCATCTACCCTCTCTTGTACCTTAAATCTGCAAATAACTAAGAGTAATCTTATTACTGATTTTTTATTTCATTTATATTAATCATGAGCTATTTAGTACAACATATCAGTATATAGGGTTATGTCAATAGTCTGGGGATTAAAAGTACTGCAAACAGATGTAATTATGTAGGTAATTTGATATTATTATACATTATAAAAGGTAATATAGATGCTTTGGTTTAAGGAATTTCTCAAAATTATACATTTTAAATGCTATTTAAAGCACATTCTAATAGTCATGACCTAATAGAAGTCAATATAGGATTATTATTTAATCTTAGGCTGAAGCCCTACAGCTGAACCCTGGGTTGTTGTTACTTCTCCACAGACCCTGCTCCACTAGTAAGGGGAAAAAATTAACAGTATTGATTATGCTAGTGCACGATTGTCTACTGATAGAATTGCGCAGATGGAAAATAAAACTGTAGACTTCACTCAAGATATGGACATAACTGGACACCTTGAATAGACCAGAAAGAGCAGAGAATAAAGAATACTGTATCGTATGAAAAGTAGACTTAGCTATGAATCATAGAATCATAGAAGTAGGGTCAGAGGGACCTTGTAGATCTTCAAGTCTGACCCCCTGCCTGGGCAGGAAGAAAACTGGGCTCAAATGACCCCAGCCAGGTAGGCATCAAGCTGCTTCTTAAAGACCCCCAGGGTAGGAGCCAGCACCACGTCCCTTGGAAGTTGGTTCCGGATCCTAGCCGCCCTAACTGTGAAGTAGTTCCTATGGATGTCTAATCTAAACCTACTCTCCAACAACTTGTGGCCGTTATTCCTTGTTATCCCGGGGGGCGCTAGGGGAAACAAGGTCTCCCCCAAACCCTTCTAGTCCTCTCTAGTGAGTTTATTGATGGTCACCAGGTCCCCCCTCAGCCTTCTCTTGTGCAGGCTGAACAGGTTCAGGTTCCGTAGCCTCTCATTGTAGGGTCTGCCCTGCTGTCCTCGGATCATGCGGGTGGCCCTCCTCTGGACCCTCTCAGTGTTGTCTACATCCTTCTTGAAGTGGGGTGCCCAGAACTGGACACAGTACTCCAGCTGTGGCCTGACCAGTGTCACGTAG